CACCTTTCCCTTTAATCACCAAGATGCTAGAGAAATTAAGGAAAGGCAGCTTGAACTGCATTCTTGTGACTCTACCATAGCTATGTTAACTGCTTTGCCCCCACCTTAATCCTTTTCAGTAGGCATCCTTCAGTCTCGAGAGACGATGGTAATGTGCTCTGAATAGTCTAATGTGCCTGAGAAGACCAATTTGAGAGTAACAATCCCTTCCACACAATCCTTTTATCCTACTAGGATTTTCTCCATCTATGTCCTTTGCCAGACTTGCTCACAGTGGTGGATGGCACAGAGATCCACACACTTCATCTAACAGCATGGTGTATAAAACCATCTTGACATAAGTTGTTCCAGTACTGCAGATACTACAGGCTTCCTGCAGACAGATTTGCCATTTGATTCTACCAAGGTAAATGGACTGCCTTACTGATATTTGTTGTCTAATAAACAGAGAACAAACGCTCCATATCTATCCCTATTGTATTTGATTTTGTCCTAGCACTTAAGAAAAAAAGGTTTGGTCCTGGCTTTCATCAAAGCATATCTAGATGCTATTTTGGCCACCTCAAACTTTTTCACCTACTCTTTCTTGGTTCTCACACCCAGACATCAAACAATTCTTCAAAGGATTTAACAATGGTTTTCCTCTGCTTCATCAAATTACTGCTTCTGGGAGTCTCTCTCACCCTTTCAATGCTTTCAGGCAACCCTTTTGAATCATTAGTGTCTACTGATCTTAGATTCTTGTTATTGAAAACAACCTTCCTTGTTATGATAACCTTAGCTAGGAGAGCAAGTGAACTCTGTGCATTGTGTGTTAATCTGCTCTACTTTGTTTTTTATAAACACAAATTTTATTTATTTATTTATTTATTTATTTTATTTCTATCCCGCCTATCTGATCATATTAGACCACTCTAGGCGGCTAAAGTTCTACTTAAGCCAGAACTTACTTTCCTCCTGAAGGTTTTTCATTTGTGCCAGGATATTGTTGTTCTGACTTTTCATCTTAATCCAACACCACCCCTGGAGAGGATGCTCCATAACTTGGATGTGTGATGAATTCTCTCCTTCTGTTTATCATAAAGAGCATCCTTCTGTTTATCATAAAGAGCATCTTATCATTACACCTAGGGCCTATGCCAGGGAGGCTCAACGATGGAGTCTCATTTTGAAACTCTGAAAGTTGGTATTAGACATGTTAAATCTTTGTGTACATTAAAATATATGTGGTTTGTGATTTACATAAATTTATGTAATTGTTAGGGTCAAAATGTTAAGTGAACATAAGGAATTTGTAATTTAAGGTCTCCGAAAATCTTTTCTCCCATTTGATTTTAATGAAGTCCAAGTAAAAATAAAATATTTGTGGACAATACACTTTCAGATCGAGGGCTGCTTTGATTCACAATTAGAAGGCATTAGGATTTAGTCCTTTTTTCCTGGTAACATGTTTTCCCATTTCCTCAGATAAGAAAAAAATATAGAAGAACCAGTAGAAAAGCTATGAGTTGTAAATAATTACATCCAGATTCCCGTAAACATACATAAATGAAACTTTGTGATTGCACGATAAAAGCCTTGTTTGGAAGCACTCTTACTGTTTTTGCATTAGTCTTATGGTTCTGTAGGTCACACCTCATCAGAGCAAGGGATCACCTGCAGCATAGGCTGACAACTCAACCCTGAATGATACAGAAATACTAAGGTCATTGTCAGAAAAATTTTCAGTTTCTTTAGTCAAAACATTAAGTATATTTTACAAGGGGGAAATTTAAATTTCAAGTCTCTCATTTGGATTCTAATGAACAATTTCTTTCTGAGTACCTCTGTGCCTGAGAAGTTCAGTACAGTATTTTGTTTTTGTTGTTGTTTTGTGACATCAAGTCAGAACAGACATATAGCAACCCTGATAGGGTTTCATGGTAAGTGAGGTATTTAAAGAGTGGTTCTACCAGTTCCATACACACACTCTGTGAGTTTCCATGGCAGAGGTGGGGAACTGAACCTAGGTCTCTTGAGTCCCAGTCCATTACTCTATCAGTACACCACACTGGTACCCACTCTTATTTAAGAAAGTAGTTTTTAGTGAATAGTTGTGGTTAGTGAACTATTACGAGTGCAAATTGTTAAAGAATCTCATATAAACAATATTTTTTAAAATTTACTATATAAGCCTTAAACCTACAGAATAATACCTGTGTATTATAGTTAATAATAGTTAAAATCTTCTCTTCGTTGCTTTCTGTTTATAGCACTAATTGCTATCATTGAAAGAATTAATAGTTCAGATATTAATTCATCATTGGATGCAGCTACCCTACATCATGGGGTGCTTATTTTTAGCACCAACAAAAGAAAAAAAATTATTGCGCATTGTGATGGCTGATGAAACAAATCTTCCACTTTCCTGCCTTCACTGGCCATTTGAGAATATGTAATCTTACAGTCAAGTGGCACATTACACATAAAACTAGTTAATTGTGTCTAAATCCTATGTATTACCTCAAATTATCTGATGTAATGTTCTCTCATTAGTGATACTAATTTTACTTATATATAATGCATAAAATACTCCATAAAAATGCTACTGTTTTTGTAATTTGCTATACTCTTACAATTCTGTGATCCATCTTTAATTAAAACCTGGCATTCAAATATGCCTCTTAAACCTTGTGAAATATAGAAGTATTTCTGTCTCACCCGTTTTGATGAAAAGATAACAAATACTGTAGCCAGTTATATTTTAAAATGTTTTATGGGTTTTTCACACAGTTCAGTAGTTTCACTGATCTACTGTTTCTTACAAAAATCTGCCATGCTTTGTGAACTTCACTTTCTAATCTCATACAGCAGCCCTTCCTTTATGTTGTTCTTGCTCTCCCTGGTCCCAGAACAGTAGGGTTGCCTTGACAAATCTATTCAAAAGCCATTCCTCTGCCTTTATTGGTGGGGACTGGAGCCTTTGAAATTCTCTCCTCACTGCAATACAGCTGACATCTTCTTCCAGACAGAATGAATTAAGGAACTACAATAAGACACTTGATCTACCAGTCAGGGATCTTTCCACAGTGAGGACAGATTCCATGGTGCACAACTAGGGCAGCAAGCATCTAAAAATATACAATACATGCTTGTTTGGCAGAAGAACCATCTGCTATTTTGAAACAATTATTAATAAGATTTTGGAATAAGTTTGTTTTTAAAAACAAATGCTTATATATGCCTTTATCCATTTCTTTGAGGTGTGTGCATCAGAAACATGATTGTTTTCGCCTCTTCATTTCTGAATATCGTTTATGAAATGAGTACTTAAGATTTTTAGTAGTTTACTTAATATACTGGAGAGGAAATTGTAAATATAAAACTAACATATTTCTATAAAGGGTGATATTTAATCTTTTAACTTGTCTTTATCAATATGCAAATACGGGGGGGTTAACTTGCAGCTTCTTTGCAGCCATTTTCACAGCATATTTGAACCCTCCTAGAAAACTGTGATGGGTATAAATTTAAGTAAGAAATAAGTTGCTCTTGGTTAATAGCTAGCTAGTACAGTGGGGTCTCGACTTACGAACGACCCGACTTGCGAACAATTCGAGTTATGAACCTGCCCTATAGGGAAAGTAAGGACTCGACATGCGAACTTCCCTCGAGTTAGGAACAGGGAAAAAAGTCCCCCCTCCCTCCCCTTAGAGGCTTCTGGAGGGGGGAAAAGGGTCAGAAACTTAAAAATAAATACTGTACTATTAAATAAAGTCACTTACCAGGCCTTGGTAGCCCCCAAACCACAAGAAAAAGAGCAGGAAAGAGCTAAAAGCCGACACCCAGAAAGAGCCTGGCAGCCATTTTGTGGTTTTCCCCGCTCCTCTCCCCGCCTAACAGCTGATCGGCTGGCTCTGAGCAGGCTTCCGGAGGCTTGCTCAGCACCTAAAAAGCCTGCCTGAGTGCCTTTGTGCTGAAAAAATCAGCACAACATGCTTTAAAACATTATTTAAAATTGGCTTCGTTTTTTTAAAAAAAGAGTTCTAAAGTGCTGCCTTTAGTGTTCCCTGCCTTCCCTGAACCTAAGGGGAAAAAAGAAAGAAAATATCCCCCTCTAGTGGCAGAAGGCAGAATAGCAGCTTCCCATTAGTTTCTATGGACAGAAAAGAGCAGATACGGATTAAATGGTTTTCAATGCATTCCTATGGGAAATGCAGATTCGACTTAAGAACTTTTCAACTTGAGAACCACCTTCCAATACGAATTAAGTTCTTAAGTTGAGACCCCACTGTAATGGAAATGTGTTAGCTTTTATGCTGTGTTATATCTAACCAAGATCTGATTCATACGGTTTCCTGCAGTCCTTTTCACATCTTTCACTACTCTCAGCAGGCCAATATGTATGAGCCACACCTTTTTTAGGAAAGTGGTAGCCATGACACTACGATCGTCTAATTCAATGAGATTATATGTAAGAATAAACATGTATCTAATTGGGGTTTATATGTGGATTTAATGCAGTTGTTTTGATTTCACCATCAAAACATTAATTTATCTTACGGTAGTTACTTATCTTTGATCCACACAGTCACGAAGAGTCGGACATGACTTAATGACTAAACATCAACGTTACTTATCTAGCAGCCATCAGGTTCCTTTACTGGCCATCATCATTACTCCAGTTGATTGAGAAGTCTCATCTGATGTTTTTATTTTATTTTATTTCCATTTCTATATAGTGCCAAAACATCTGTCTGTGATACACATGTTTTGCAATGCCCAACACTTGTGTTGAGGCATGGGTTTTGTAATTTGCCCTGAGATGCTTTGAATGTTTACATTTGTAAAAAAATTACGCAGATACAGCAGACCTGATGGTTGCTTCTGTTCAAGAGTGAGTTCAGATCTCATGTAACTTTCCTCTAGCTTTAGGACTCTTATAATTGATCCTTGAGAGATTAAGGCATATGATGATTTCATTCAGATTTCTCTCTCGCTCTCTTTTTTCCCAATTACAGAATTGTTGTAATTGGGTGTCCAGTTCGGAGCCTTTGGATACATCAGTAGAGTCCATGTTACCTGACTGCCCACGAGTCTCTGCAGGTATGTCAGTAGCTGTCTAGAAATAATTATTGTCTTGAATTGTAGTGATTGGGAGTTTTTCACTCCTGCATTTTTTTCTGAGCCTTCAGTGAAACTTAAAGGATTGAATTATTCAATATTTCTGTTATTTTTCAACCAATTGGTTTTGCTGTCTGTAAGACACATATATTCAGATTCTGTTGATTTCTACTATTTTACAGGGTATGCATCTTCTTGTTCAATTACTGTATGGGTTCTATAGCATGGAAGCAAACAAAACATTGTTAAAGCATGAGGGGAAATTGTAAGGTTGAATTTAGCAGGAGTTGTATAAACATGGAAATTACTATTACAGTTTCTTAGTGAGTGTGTTGTTTGAAATGTAAACTGTAGAATACTGAACAACAACAAAAAAGGAGAAGTTGAGTCCTACCTACAATAAATGAAAAGTATTCAGGTGGTAATAGCATCACAATATGAAGCTGCTGGAATTCTACTGTTGATTATAAAATATTTGTTTTTCATTAGCAAGTTTAATACACTGTAAGAACAAGAGCCAAAGAACTAGCATGCATATAATACAGCAAAAAGTTTTGTCACATTAAAAACAGGAGAGTTTTTGAAAGTTGTAATGTAACATGAGGGATTGCTGTTCGTAAAAACTGGGTAGTGCTTCCAGGAGCCTCAACACTCTTCCTCTCTCTCTGAACATCAAATGAAAGGTACAAATACCAGTGCTTCATACCCTGTTTATAAGCTTCCCAAAGGCTTTTTCTCTGATTACCTTTGCAAACAGTGTTAACTAGATGAAGGCATGATTAATCTAAGCCATAGAATGAATGCAAAACCAACACTGCTTTGAGCCCTCATTTTACTGCTGCAACAGGGCATCCCTTTCACGGGAGGCTACCCCATTTCTCGTCCTTAATAGCTCTGGGTCAGTTCCCGCATCAGTTAACAGACTGGAGAAGAGATTATGAAAGGGAGACATAATAACTGTCTTCCAAGAACTGCATGGTTTTAATACAAAAACCAGGGCATTATATTCCTCTTGTTCAGGGGGACAATATATAATACAGTCCTTGAGTAGCTGCAACTCTTATCATCCTAGGGAATGTAAGTAATGGTGATGAATGCTGTGAGTATTTGTCTTCCACCTCTGCCACTTTCTTCCACACAGCAACTTCTGCTGTTGAAACTCCAAGTCGAAGCTACCGTATTTGTCCGTGTATAAGATGACACTTCTTCAACGTGGTTCTCTATGAATCCACACTGGTGGGTTAAACAGCGCCTGCGCTGGTTCCCCTCGGAATTTTCTAGAGCTATGAGGAAAAAGATACAAAGTTTGAGTTGCCCTGCACTGCGCAAGTGCAGCCCGCCAAAAATCCCCAGTTCCATTTATCCGCCCGCGGAGTTGGAACCTCTCGGATAGAGCTCTTGAGATTTTTCTCTCTTTTCGCTATTTTGAGTATTTTCGGCTTGACCTGGCTTGTCTTTCTCGTCTGCCGTCACTCCGTTGCCCTGAAATTGGACTGGCTGACCTTTCTTTGCCTCTGGCGCTTGATTGCAAGTACTTTCGCTTACCGCTTGATCTTAATTGCGCCCTATTACCTCCTGCTGAGGCGCCACGCGCCTGCAGGATTTCTTCAATTACCGATTTTCTCTGTTGTATCTCACCGCCTGGCTTATGTCAGCGAAGAAAGGACCTTTTCGCCGCTGTTCTGCCTGCTCTGGGAAACTTCCCCTCCAGGATCACCATTCCCTCTGTCTTTTCTGTCTAGGCGAGACCCATTCGCCTACGAATTGCAGGCATTGCAAAGAATTCACCAAAGCCACCCTAAAATCCCGTCAGCAATGTCTCAAGTATTTTCTTTGGAATCGGACTCTGTCTGCTTCCCAACCGTCAGACATGGAATCGGTCCAGTCCGTTTCCACTGTCCGTTCTGAGGTGACTTTAGTTTCCTCTTCACCTCCTTCGACATCCAAGGAGGTGCCCAAGAAGACTTCAAAAGGAAAATCCAAGAAGATACCGGCAGGAAAAAAGGCATCCACCGATGTTCTGGCTTCTTCGGCCTCAGGACCGACTAAGAAGGCACCATCTACGGCTGCGGTGAAAGTCAAGTCGAAGACCAAAGAGATCACTTTGGTGGTCCCGCCGGTTTCGACGTCGTTGCCTTCTCCCTTCCTCGAGGATTCCAATCGGGACCGGGATTCGATCTCCGATTTAGGCGCCCCCATTCCGCCTCGTCAACCGCCACCGGTGGACTTGGGAAGGTCGCCTACGGTTAGCCAGCTCGACAAGCTCGTTGCCAGCGCCGAGAGCGTTCCGCTCAGCCCGATACTTACCAGGCGAACAACCCGATCTCCTTCGCTCCTCTCAGAGTCGGGGCGTTCCAGGTCTCCTCCCCCTCCACGGGGTCGACCTACCAAGCCGCTTGAGGAACCAGTCCCTCGGCGCCCAGCTTCTCACTCCACCGACGACGAACCATCGGCCAAGAACCGCCGTCACCGACGGAGGCACCGACGAGGCCACCGACGCCGAAGGGACTCCTCACCGTCCAACTCAGATTACAGTCGGGGTCGGAAGAGGTCCCACCGGAGAAGGCGAAGAAGGGATTCTTCTACCGAGTCCTCTTCGACCTCAAGAGAAAGGAGACATAGGAGAAAGAGATCTAAGTACTCCTACTCGTCCTCCTCTCGGTCACATTCTCTGCGTCGAAGCCCGTCCCCGAATAGACCATCGGACATGGGCTCCAGCAAACCCACGGCACCGAAGGATGTCCCCACTGTGCCTCCTGTTTTTCCACCTCGGCAGCCTGCAGAGGAGTCTCCTCCAGCCCTGAAAAAGACGGCTAAATCATACTCAGTGCAACCTGCACCTAGGCAATCCAAACCTCAGTGGCGTCCAAAGTACACCACCCAGCCTTACCAGCAACCATCCACCAGCAAGCATACACCAGGTGTATACGTCTGCGATAGTTACCTTTCAACCCAGGGAGTCACAGTCGTCCAAATGGTTTTCCCACCCGACTGTAAAAGCTTTTTTCAGAGGTCTATCCAACATGAGACCCCCTGTAAGACGACCTTTGCCCCAATGGTCATTACAGACTGTGCTACACTCGTTGGTTCGTCCACCTTTTGAACCAATGGCTACTTGTGACTTAAAGTTTCTTTCCCTAAAGACTTTATTCCTTGTAGCAATCACCTCTGCCCGTAGGGCTAGTGAATTGGCTGCTCTCCGGGCTGATTCTCCTTACCTCCAATTCTTCAAGGATAAGGTGGTGTTACACCCAGATGTTTCTTTCCTCCCCAAGGTTGTATCGGATTTCCATGTCAATCAGCCCCTGTTGTTACCTACTCTCTTTTCTGAACCTTCTTCAGATGTTGAACGCAC